TATAGTAATAGTTTTTTACCCTTTTATCTGGCACAAAAACTGACACCTTTATACAAGGGATCATGTTTGCAATAACCACAACACAAGTAGTCAAAATGCAAACAAAAAAGACAACTCTGATAATATGCACTGTCCTTGAATTTGATTAGTCCACCACCCGAGACGGCTTTTCTTAGAGCCCAGTCTCCACTGGTGTTGGACCAGAAGGTGCCAAAAGACGTACAACTCAAAAACAGCGCACCATCAGAGTATTGAGAGCTCGGGGTAAGCACTTACATTATGAGACCTCATTTGCCAGTAACAAGATATAGTAATAGGTTTTTACCCTTTTATCGTCTCGTTTAACCGGCAGGTCTACTTTGCCATCCCCTCCATCCCCTCGATGGTATCGGAAGTGCCTTTCCGTTTGCAAATTGGTAAATCATGGGGCGATTGTCAAACTTGGCAAGATTTGCACGTGACGTCGCCGTTTGTATTTCCTATTTAAAATACATACGTGCCGCCTTTGTATGATGACGATGAGTATCGTTATGGTGGGGATCGCTGCCACAGTGCTGTAAAGGTTTACATATCAGCGAACGAGACTTGGCAATCCAGAGGTCGCCGGCTCGATTCGATCTCCCGGTGCGGCAGTCGAAACAATGGTGCGAGTTTCTTAAATCCCTCTCCTCCATCACCCACCACCACCGACGCCTCTCTCAACCCAGCAACTGTATACATTACTGCACCGCAGCTGTTCTATGATCGGCAGGTCGCCTGTGATGGTGTAAGGCGTCGATAGTCCGACCTCTTTTCTGGCCAGTGTGGAAGAGTAGGCCAAAGCCTCTCGAGATGGCAGGGCTTTTTAGTGTTTCCCCAAGTGGGGGAATTTCTTCTTCTAGCGGTAGGGCCGTGAACAAGCGATTGCAGTGCCGCACCTTCGCCTTTTACGAATGAATGATAGAGAATGCCGCTAACATCAGTGGGCACGTGACGATCTTAACGCAGTCCTACCCCCCCCCCCCCCCACCACGTCACTAACCGGCACTGACCAACGTGGTGAAGTATGGTCAAACACCCACCACCCCCCCGCCTCCGCCGCCCGTGACTGACGCGGCATTGGAAGTCCTTGGGCATCCACCAGAAAAGAACCCTCTTACATTCTCCCTCCCCTCGCCACCCACGTAACCCCCCCCCCCCCGCCCCCTAGACGAGATGTGACAGAGCCCATTTTACCTCCCATTTAACAGCGTAATTTTGCACGTTTTCGCCGTTTATGCGCAAATGGAGCGGCGTCGGGAGAGTCGGCGCAAGACGACGCGAATAGCGCAATGAGCAACACTTGGCGCGAGGAAAATGACTCTCTCTGGCGACACTTAAGCGATTCCGCAGCGTCGGTGTGTTTGCGCGCGGTCCGACGAGATGTTAACTCCCTTGCTTGGTATACAGGAGGTCGCGTGGGTTCAATCCCGATCCTGACGCCTGTTGTATATTATATTCGGTGTTTGCGTGCCTCTCTCTCTCTCTTTCCGTTGGTCCCGGCGATTTTCCTCCAGGTCCCCCCCTCCCCACCCGGGTTTTCCCTCCACGTGCGTTCACAATGTTTTGGCTGCTATGATTTTCCACACGTTGATGAGCCACTTCTCGTTGCGCTATCGTTTGTGAGAGCAGCCTAGTCTCTTCTTCTACCTGGTCAGATTAAAAAAAAAATAGTTTCTAGTTTAAGTTCCTATCGCCAGCGCCCCGTCTTCCGAGGCGGGTTAGAGGCCGAGGCGCTAACCGCAGGGCTGAACGAGTCCCCCCTGCGAGCCCCATCGAAGGCGTTTAACTGAAGAGAGGGGCCCTCGCTGTAAATAATTGCCAACGGGCAAGCGAAGGAGGCCTCTAACGAGAGAGGCGGACAATAACGAGAGGTAAGTGGCCGGGGTGGTGGGCGGGCGGAGGGGGGGTGGGGGAAGGATCAAAAGACAATAATTAACTGCCGGTGATAATTGTTCTTCAGTCGTCATCGGATCGGTTCAGGATGATCGTCGTGGCTTTTGTATCGCTTTGTTTCTTCCCTCTCCACCCGCCCACCTCGAAGCGTTAGGAAAGCGGTGGTGGTAATTATTGCGGCGCCATTTACCACTCTACAACCACCACTGCCCCTCCCCACTCTCCTCTAGCACACACTTCCAGAAATAACTAATCCTACGCAGAAACTACACGCCAAGCTTAACGGGGGGGGGGGGGCGGTCAGAACACCCCCACTGCGCCCCCCCCCGCGCCTCCCTTATCCCCCCCCGCCCCACCAAATGGGATTCAATAATAAATATTTAATTGATAAAAAAAGATAAAGGAATTTAGGACATCACTTGATTCAATTACGCCCCGCGGTGATGTATGAGGCTATTAAGCGAGTGTGGCATTCGCGCTCGGCTTCTTATTAAAATATGACACAATAAGACAGAGACCGCTGTACTTAGGCAAATGTGAGGCAGCCAGAGCATCAGGCAAACGCCCCGCGTGAGCAAATTGAAAATGCCGCCTTAAGTGAGACTTCAATTAATTTACTGTAAAAACATTAATTGTATATAAAATAATAATAATAATAATATTACACAATGATATATATTGCTGACGCAGTAAAGGGACTCACCGATTCTGGTATTTAATGTTTATTTTTTTCACTTCCTCCCCAAGCAGGGTCCTGCTACATTGGGATTTTTTGTCGGTTACAATTTGAAACAAGTGAGTGGGAGCAAACCGGAGAACCCGGTAATAACCCACCAGTCACAGCCAGCAGATACCACTCAAAGGGCCACTGCACAGACGAGGTATCACACACCTACTTGCTGTACTTACTGCCTCTTTCCAGGGTCACCTCCTCGCTTCGCAGCCGGTTTGGGAGTTTCTCAATTCTCAAAATCTCTGCGTGAACCACCAATCTTCGCTTGGCAAACGCTTGATCAAAGGTGCATGTAACCACTACCACACATGGTTGTGTGAGCGTGTTTCAAGGGTAAATAGAATATAATATAAGAATATTTTAATAAAATATAGATTGTTCCTTAACCCATAATGCCCCACGGCAACGCATAATGAGTTTGTGTATGGCGCTGTTTCTCGTGTTAAACGGGGTTCCATATTCTAAATGGAATGCCCTTATTAGCGATAGCTGCTCCTACAGCAGTATTTGCTTTAACAAGCCTGACTTTGCTTATGAGACCCAGAATGGTCAAAACTTGTCCAGAGTTTGTTTGGTTAAAAACATTCTGCTGGATAATGTATGCATGCATGTTGAACTTCTTTCGCACCGTATCTAGCCAACCACCCGAATAGGAGGTGCGAAATATAATTTTGGTCTGTAGAGCCAATGGGTCGATAGACGAACACAATATTAATGATTTACATGTGAAGACAAATAACAAAGTTGTGGTTATATTTGTTGTTGTTGAAAAGAGGAGTATACAACCACTCTGGGGAAGGGGGGAGGGGACTTTAATCAAATGTTCAACTCAAGACAGAACGAGTAACGGTAGAATGTTAACTGAGATCAAACATTGCACCAATGTTACTTGACTTAGAATTCACAAGAGGGCCTGAGTCGCCCCCCGCCCTAACCCACCCCCCCCCCCCCCGCCGCCGACCCCTTACCCAAGAGCCCCATCGAGGGTAGCCACGTGGAGCTGGGCTGGGAAATCCACCAGTAGGGGGCCCGGCTTTCCTGGGGTCTCAACGTGGGGTATTGCGGCTCAGAAGGGAAGACAATGGAGTGCGTTTCGCAAGCTACTTATCGGCGTGGCTCATAGTCGGTAAGCTGACTTTAGACGGAAACGCTGGGGCTCACCGCAACAACTCACACTAATCCCAGCGGCAGGAATCCGCCGCTCACTAATACGAGCGCGCCCGATTGCTTGCTCGCCCTCTTTCCCGCTCGCCTATTAGCGTGTATTTACAGACGAGACAGAGATGCGTTAGATTAAAGCTGCGGCAGAGGATTTCACAAACGGCGAAGGAAAACGAAATAAAAAAAAACAACGGGTGTGAATTTCGATTTAAAGCTTTCGTGACTGCAAGGATTCATCTTCTTTGGTTCTTTCGGTAAAGTCACGTAGAATGAGAATACAATAATAAATTAATAAAATAAAACAACACTCGTGTTGTGGCCGAAACGTCGTGAGAATTTTGTGTTATTTTATTTCATTAATTTATTATTTTATTCTCATTCTACGTGACTTTACCGAAAGAACCAAAGAAAACGGGTGTGAAGTTTCACTGAGGGTGGCGGCAGTCTGCGGCGGTCTGTTGCACATGAGTCCTGCGACCTGAGTTTGGCGATCCTCTGAGAAGCCCTAAATGTGCCTTCGTCTGGCCCTGCGAGATTGATCGCATCACTATGTGTGTGTGTGCGTGCGTGTGCATTGCCCCACAACGTGTGTGTGTGTGGAGAGTGGCAGTGTGGCGGTTTAGCGCGCTGCGCTACGAGTTTGACTCCTGCTCACGGCCAACACCAGCGACGATTATCCGAACCGTATCTGAACCGGTCACTGATCCTCCCCTAAATGAGTACCTAGTGTGGTGTGCAAAACATCGCCACTGGGGAGACAAAGGCGGTCGGGCGTGGTGTTGGCCACCCACCCGCCTGCGTACCGCTTACAGCACTTGCCTAAAAAGTCTATGAAATCTATGCGGGCATCTTTGTATTTGTATGAGCGAATAGACGCGGTGGTGTGGGCGCGGCGAGCAGCGCGCTGTGCCACCAACCTGGCGACCCGCCTTCATATCTTGGCCACGGATAACATCAGTGGCGATCGAGATATAAGCCGGTGCTGGGCCCGCGTATTCGGCGTGCTGAAGCGTGGTCAAAATGTCAACCCCCGGTCGACCAGCAAGAGGAATGATAGAAAATGGCTGTACGTGCATTGTTTGGTATTACGAGTGAAAGAAAGATGAAAAAATAAGTTAAAAAATCGTACAAATAAAAAAAAATCCACAACGAGGAAATAATCAGACCGGGAGACATCGCCGACTGAGCGCACCTGGGAGATGCGCGGGTTGGGACAGCGAGTCGGAGCTGCCTCCTCCTCATCCTCCTCCTCCTCCTCCTCTCCCCGCTGAAGCCAGCGGTCGTTTGGGCAGTCCTGCTTCAGGGTGCACCGCCCGCCACCGCCACCGCTGTTCCCAGCAGCCGCACCGCCAGCGGCAGCTGCAGCAGCGCGGCCACCGCCGCACCAGCCACACTCGAACCGCTTGTCGGCGCTCAGACAGCGTCCGCACGTGTCGCGCGACGCCCAGCACTTGTAGAGCGAGACTGCGAGTGTCGATCGTCACACCATCATTATCGTCACCATCATCGGCGCCGTCATCATTGTCATCATCATCATCATCGTCGTCACTATCATCATCTACATAATCATCATCATTATCACTACCGTTACCATCATTGTCACCATCATCATCATCATCATCGAGGGCACCACCATGCCGAGCATAGTCCAAGACCTTCGTCAGCCACAAAAGTGGCCGCGCGTCCCACGTGAAATCGTGGCCTATCCTGAGCGTTGGTTCCACCGTGCCGCCACATTAAACAACTAAACTTGAACTCTGGTCGGAATAAAGTGGACATGGAAACCCTCGATGAGCTCCTTGCACCAGAGCCCGTGTGCCGACCACGCGACGCCACCGCAGGCACCGCAGACCTGGCCCCTTGCCGAGTTCGACTCCCATCACGGGACGAAACCACGCTACGGCACGCACGCTCGCTCGCTCGCTCGCTCCCCGCTTACTCGTGATGTTGGCCGGGTTGTCGATGGTGAAGCCTCCGTTCCACGTGATGGAGAACTCCACCGTTAGGTTGCTGAAGTCGCCGTCGTAGTTGTACTGCGCGGGGGTGGGAGCGGAGGGGATGCGATCGCGGTGTCAGGCTTCACGTTGGAAGTATTTTATTTTTTTATTTTACCAGGTATGGCCCACTGAACTATATAGCTCTTTTTCAGAAGCGACCTGGCAACAAATGATAGCTCACCAAAGTGGCTTATCACGTGGAGATGTATAGCAGCCAAATAACTCTATACGCATGTTTCTAAATGTGGAGATAAAAACCGGAGGACCCGGAGAGAAATCCACGCGACCATGGGGAGAACATGCAAACTCAAAATATACAGCAGGCGTCAGGGTCGGTATTGAACTCACTACCTCCTGTATACCAAGCGAGGTTGTTAACATCTCGCCACCGGCTGAGAACTCAAGAGACCAGGATGAGTCTCGTTTGCAAGAGTGACCAGGGGGCATTAGTTTATCCGATAGGAACAATTTGTGGTGTAGTTTTCGAATTTGACAAATTTGGATGCTTGACATGAGCGCACTATGGCCGACACGGGATCTTTAACGCCCACTGTGAGTGGAGCAGATGGGGCGTGGTATCGGGGAGGTTATTACTCCACCCACACCGCAGTATTAATCAGGGCGGCCCGCTGGACTTGAAGCGTGAACCTCTGCAACAGGCAGCGAACGCGAATCCAGCGATGCCGCCCCGCCTGGCCACAACGGCGCCAGCGGTCGGTGTGGAAATAAAAGCGAAGTAATGAAAGGAAAAACCACGCTCGCGCACGGATTCTGTTACATTTCCCAACGTTGCGTTTGTCTCCCAAAGTATTTAATGAACACGACGGAGGCTCAAAGGTAGCACATTTGAGAGGAATGGCAAGAGACGGTGAGGTGGGGTGAAGGATAGTGAGGTGGGGTGAAGGATGGTTAGGGGCAGAGTGGCGGAGAGGGACAGTGAGTGGTGATGGTGAGGTCTGGTGGCTGGTGATGGTGAGTTCTGGTGGTGAAATGCAATGAGGGCTAAGAGTGAGCGATAACGGTGAGTGCGGTGAGTGACGGGTGAGCGAGGCTCGGGATGCATGTGAGGCGTCGCTCGGGCGAGTGAGTCACGGGCGAGTGAGGCTCGGGACGCGGGTGAGGCGTGGGGCGCCTCGGCTCACCGTGGCGTCTTGGCACTGCACGCTGGAGCTGTTGAAGCGCAGAGCGGGCACCCTGAGCGTGGCGCCCTGCACGCGCAGGGCGCAGGAGTAGGCGCGCTGCCCCGACTGGGGCTGGGGGAGGTTGCGGGCCCCGATGGCGACTCGGCGCTCCCTGCCAGCGGGCAGCAGCAGCTCCGAGCCGCCCGGCGCTGCCACCAGCTGGGGGCACAGCTGTGGAGGGGGGAGCGGAAGAGGAGGATTGTGGGGAGTTGGTGAGGGGCGGGGGAGAGGTTGTGAGGTGTAGTGAGGTGGGGTAGGGATGGTGTGTTGAGGTGCATGGGGGTGAGGGATTGTGAGGGAGAGTGAGGTGGTTAGGTGAGGAACTGTGAGGGAGAGTTAGTTGGTCAGGTGAGGGATTGTGAGGGAGAGTGAGGTGGTCAGGTTAGGGATTGTGAGGGAGAGTGAGGTGGTCAGGTGCGGGATTGTGAGGGAGAGTGAGGTGTTCAGGTGAGGGATTGTGAGGGAGAGTGAGGTGTTCAGGTGAGGGACTGTGAGGGAGAGTGAGGTGGTCAGGTGAGGGATTGTGAGGGAGAGTGAGGTGGTCAGGTGCGGGATTGTGAGGGAGAGTGAGGTGGTCAGGTGAGGGATTGTGAGGGAGAGTGAGGTGGTCAGGTGCGGGATTGTGAGGGAGAGTGAGGTGGTCAGGTGAGGGATTGTGAGGGAGAGTGAGGTGGTCAGGTGCGGGATTGTGAGGGAGAGTGAGGTGGTCAGGTGAGGGATTGTGAGGGAGAGTGAGGTGGTCAGGTGCGGGATTGTGAGGGAGAGTGAGGTGGTCAGGTGCGGGATTGTGAGGGAGAGTGAGGTGGTCAGTTGAGGGATTGTGAGGGAGAGTGAGATGGTCAGGTGAGGGATTGTGAATCGTGGGGTGAGGAGAAGGAGTGGAGCGGGGGGTTGAGAGGTGAGGTGCAGGGTGGTGAGATGCGGGATGACGAGAGGTGTTAAGGGGGTTGGGGGGTAAAGAGGTGAGCTGAGGTGGTTGGTGGGTGACGAGGAGACGTGGAGAGCGGTGGTCATATTGGATGAGGAGGGGAGAGGGTTGGAGTGGTGAGATGGGGAGGTGAGGAGTTGTGAGGGCCAGTGAGGTGGCCAGGTGAGGGATTGTGAATCGTGGGAAATGTTGGGTGAGGTGCAGCGAGACGCGGTCATGAGGGTGAGAAGCGGTGAGGGGCTGAGGTCAGCGGGTGTTGAAGGGCAGTGAGATATGGTGAGTGGTAGCGAGGTGGGTGTGGGGGATGAGGTGGTGTGAGGAATGGTGAGGTACGGGTGACGAAGGGGGTTGTTGAGTCGCAATGCGCGGCAGTGAGGTGAGGGCACGGCGAGGTGCAGTGACGAATGGTGGTGAAGGCTTTACGCGATTAGTAAGTGGTGGTGAGGAGCTTGTTGGGTAGGCAGAGTTGCGATGTGACACGGTGAGGTGGAGCGAATTGCCTTGAGGAGTGGTGAGGAATCGTACATCGTAAAATGTGAGGAGGTAAAATTGGGAATGGGTGAGGAATGGAGAGGAGAGGTGAGTAGTGGCGTAGTAACTACATTATCAGTGGCGTAGTAACTACATCATTAGTGATATAGTAACTACATCATTAGTGATATAGTAACTACATCATTAGTGATATAGTAACTACATTATCAGTGATATAGTAACTACATTATCAGTGACATAGTAACTACATCATTAGTGATATAGTAACTACATTATCAGTGATATAGTAACTACATTATCAGTGATATAGTAACTACAATACTACATCATTCGTACTCTTTGGGTATTTCGGTAAAGTCACGTAGGTATAAGTGATTTATTTTATTTTATACCTACGCGACTTTCACCGAAAGAACCAAAGAGTATGCATTTCTGCAGTCACGAAAGCTTCAAATCTACATCATTAGTGATTTATTAACGACACTAACAGCTCAGGAGGGTGCGACAATCGCTCAGCTGTGGCCCCAATATTTTACTTGTCTCGCACAGCAGCACCTGCGCTGATATAGATCGCGGCTCATCTTGTGCTCATCAAGCCACCGAGCAGTTTTGTAAAAAAAAATATAATAAACCGAGCTGTTGTTCTTTAACACTGCTGCAGTCGAAAACATATCTCGTCATGGTGGTTGTCAAGGGGGGGAGAGAGGGGGTGGGGGGGTGGGGCAAGACACCCCCTGGCCCCACACTCGTCACGCTACTGATGGTGAGGTTTGGTCCGGGGTGGTGAGAGTATGGCCACGTGGGTGGTGAGGTGACCATGGTGAGGTGACCATGGTGAGGCGTGGAGCGGCGATGATTTGCGAGTACGTGAAGGGAGGGGGTGGGTGTGAGTTTGTGCCCGCGTGGTCGGTGGGTGGCAGAGGCGTGCGGAGTTCGCGTGTTCGCAGAGCGTGTGTTTAATAACCGAGCCAAGTCGCAGGCAGACGTAAACACGCGGTCTGTAATATAATAAAATTATGAAAATCTGAACCTCTCTCTCTCTCTCTCTTTGCTCCTGGCAATTAAAAGCCTCCGCACGGTAGTCGCAGACAACATTTATCTTTTGGGTGATGTTCGCTTATTTATTATTCATCATTAATTTGTATGCAGAGGCACCGCCGCCAAGCGGAACCTTTGCATTTCACTCCGAGAAGAAGACGAAGTGAGCAGCGGGAGACGGCGATATTTTCTGGGTTTTTTTCCTCTCTCTCCCCCTCTCTATCTCCCACACTCTCTCCCTCGCCCCACCTCCCTCTCGGACAAAATTGCGAGCGAAAAAGCGAGCACGAGAGATGACGGGATTTTTCCCGTGGGCTTCACTCGCGAGTGGACTCCCCCACACGAGCCGACCGCGCCCCCTCCCCTCTCGGAGCCGCAAGCCCTCTTGGAGCCGCAAGGCCCCTCCGCAACGCGAGCCCCCTCGGAGCAGAGAGCCTCCTCCGAGCCGCGAGTCTCCCTCGGAGCCGCGAGACCCCTTGGAGCCACGAATCCCCTTCCGAGCCGCGAGCCCCCCTGGGAGCCGCGAGCCCCCTTCCGAGACGCGAGCCTCAACGGCAATTTGAAAGCACGACGTCGCGGCGATAGCTGGCGCAACGTGTGGTGATTAAGGGTCCTTGTCTCCCGTCCGATTGATTTTTTATTCTTTTTTTCGGCCAGTTAACTTTTTTGCCGAACGGCGAAATATCGCGATTGCTGCGCACTCTCTCCACCCCCCCCACCCCCCCCCAAAAAAAAAAATCGCGACGATTTTCCGTTTTAGTTTCACCTCCCACCCTCCTCCCTCCTAACCGCACACAGCTGCTGGTCTTTCTGATGTATTGATTGAGACATTTCGGGACTGGGGGATTTTAGCGGCGGAGGCGATGTTGGTGGAGGGGGTGGCGATAATATTTGCAGTTATGATTTTTTTTTTTTACGGGGTTTCATTTGTTTACATTAAACAGTGCACTTTGGCAGCAGCGTCAGCCACCGGAGGGTACACGGCCGTATGTAAATCGAAGCCCTACCGGCGAAGGAAGTCTGAAAAATCTGCCGCACCGCACTCTCATTTCAGTGGCAATTAAGCCTCCTTTTATAGTTTACAAACCCGCGCAGCAGGAAAGATTAATTTAACAAATAGAGATGCCACCGAAAATAAAAACCCGCCCAGCAAACGCGCGCTTAATTGCATAATTACTCCGCTAAAGTGAATTTTCTTGTTTTTGCTACTAATTACTCACGTTTTTTATTTTTTGTTGCGGTTTTTTTTTTGCCGACCACCACCCATGCCCAACCCCCACCTCGTCGCTTCCTCTGCCCCCCCCCCCAACTCCTCCCCGGCCGCCCCCCGCCCACCACCCTCTCCACCCCACTGCGTACGAATTTGCTAAATGTGCACGGTTGATTCTGTTTGAGATGATGCAGCCTTGGCGTCATGGCCAGCGCTCTGGGATTGCGACGACGGATTTGGCGACGACGGATTTGGCGAAGCCCTTCGTCCAGCGGTGGATTGATCGCGGCCCACCGACAACGACGGTGAAGATACTCATCATTATCAACCCCTCACCACCGATTAGCACGGTTGGCTACGTACGGCGCGAAAGAAGTTCAACACACATACATAGCAGCCAGGATCTGTGTCCATGATCCTGATGCCGGACAGGACTTGCAATACCAGAGGTCACCGGCTCGATTCCGTCTCACGCCGCAGTACTTGAACCATCGGTGCAAGTGTTTTTGTTTGTGTTGTTGTTGTTGTTGGAAGTCCCCCGCGCCTCTGTCCACCCATCAGTATGTCTGGGTTCACCACAGTTGTTGCACCGATGGGAAGGTCGCGCGTGGCTGGGAAAAGTGTGAGTCACCCGCCACATCTTGCAAGAGGTGAGGCCAACGTGGACAAGTAGGACAAAACACGCTCTAGAGAGGCTCTCTAGCGTAGACCCGTCCACCGTCAGCGGCGTAAGATATTGCAGGGCTGCGCCTTTAGCTATTTATGAATGCATTGCTCGGTGCGCCGTTGTGGCGGGGAGATAACATCTCCTTCGCCTGGTACGCAGGAGGTCAACGGTTCGATCCGGGACCCTGACAATGCCCGTTGTTGTATAATTGGAGTCCGCGTGTTCTCTCACTTCCCGTGGTGGTCTCGTGGATTTTTCTCCTCCGGCTCCCCCCCACCCGCCCACACATTTAGAAACAACGTGCGGTTAGATTATTTGGCTGCCACTATGCATTTCCACGTGTTATGATCATTATATCAGCCATTTCGATGATGAGCTATCATCACGTGTACCCATGTCGCCTGTGAAAACAAAAGAGTCAATTCAGTGGGCTTTACCTGCTAACTAAAGTAGTTCGTTCTGTGGATCGTGCCGAGTTCTCATGAAAACAAATCTCCCCCCCACCACCCCACCCTCCAATTTAATGTGGCAGCAGAAACATTTTACTTTGAACATAAATTAGTTTATTTAGTAATACTTTTGTGATTATTGAACGATTTGTCTCTTACTCAATTGCTACTATCACTGTAACTATTCCTGCACAGAGTAAATGAAAAATAATACCTGGTGATCATAAAATGTTTTCAAATGTAATTCTCGATCAGGCCCCACGGTGTAAACAAGTAGAATCTCTACCTCATTATTAATGATCCACTCAGTCTCTGTGGCATTTCTGCTCATGAGCTACGAAGAAGGGCCATTGCCTGAAACGTCACCAATTACACACATGTATTTTT